TATGATTCTAAATCACCCTACAGTTGCTAATTTACACTTTCTGACTTCCTTTAATTAAAGTCCTACTGTAGATATGATTTAATTATTTTACCACGTATGCTTCGATTTGCTAAGCCATTAATGGCTTACTGTTTCTTTAATATCGGTAAATGAAACTTCGTTGAATGCCATAAATCCTTTGTTTATTTTTATCTGTGTATAATCATTTCTGATTAATTTATGCTCCATTTGTGTCTAAATATATTTAGAATGCGAACACCTAGATATTCTGTTCCATTTATTAAGTATATTCATTCTTTGACATCGCTTGTGTGTTTTGTGGGGTTGATGTGTACGATTTTTAGGAACAGAAGGATGTCATCGACCAATTCTCCATGCGCAGCTTGCAAATTCCTACGCAGAAAATGCACCCAAGAGTGTGTCTTCGCACCCTATTTTCCGCCAGATCAGCCATTGAAATTTTCCAATGTCCACAAAGTGTTCGGTGCCAGCAACGTGGCGAAACTACTCAACGAACTCAATGCTGCTCAACGGGAAGATGCAGTGAATTCCCTTGCCTATGAGGCTGAGTATCGGCTTCGAGATCCTGTCTATGGGTGTGTTGGCCTTATTTCATTACTTCAACAGAAGCTCAGGCAAGTTCAGGATGATCTGTTGAACGCTAAAAAGGAACTGTCTACCTACATTGGTCCATCAGCAATGATACCCATTATTAATCTTCAACCTCCGGGGTTTTTTTCAACCGCAGCAACATATGAATGCGCCGTCTTCTAGTACCATGATGCCTTTCAATATGAACCCAATGTCAGGAATGTCAACAGTGGTCCCACATAGTGGTCAATTGATGATTCGTGACCCACAGCAGCAACAGCAACTGCTGCAGCAGCCAATTCAAGTTCAACAATTTATAACAGCATTGGCTGCAAAGGAACAAAGGGACCAACAGGAGATGCTAAAATTTTATGAGCAGCAAGAACAACAAGCTTCTCAACAAGAAGATGTTGTAAGATTTAACGGTGGGTTCGACTCTACGGGCTCGGTAACAGCTACTGGATTTCATCAGATGAGTTCATCCGTACCACCTTCGTTGGTTTTGGCCGGTACCTATGAAAATCCTTATAATCTGGTTCCGCCTCATCAGCAGTCCCAACCGGAGCATCCTCTTTCTTATCAACAACAGGTTCATCTTCAGTCTCAACAACAGCTGCAGCCCCCACAGCCACCAGAGACCCCGAGGCAGCAACAGAGAGCCAACAGCGAAGAGGAGGGTAGGGGTTCCGGTGGTCCTTCAAGTTGATGTCTTCAGTTCCATGCCTATTATTTTCTACATTTTTGATCTTGGTAAGTTTTTGTTTCATTAAATGCTTTGCATTTATATATACTAAAAAGTTTTCACTCCTTCACTGGCCTTAAATATGCGTTTTGTTTACTAGGTCCTGCATTCTCTGTTTGTATCGCGTTATCTGCTAACAAACTCTTGAGTTCAATTTCTTATAAAAAAATTCTTCGCAGATTAAGCTACTTGCACTTAGTAATATATTGGCAGCAAAGAAAATACCTTGACTAACTCTTGTTTATGTATGTGTTGTTAACTGCAGCAAGTTGATGGGGGGTATACAAGCGTATAAAGAGACATCGGACAGATGAAGGAGAGATTATGATATGTACAAGAGATAGTCGGAGAGAGGATTGAATATTTTCAACATGAACATTAATTAAACTTCTTAGGTATAAGGTCTTTCTTAGATTTGTTTTCTATTGATCAAGACCCTGTTGGAGTTTTGATGGTACATTTTCTCAAAATGTAGGAGCAGCATTAATTTCATATAAAAACAGTGTTGTCTTTCTTTACCCGTCGATGCTTACTTTGTCTGGCTAGCTTACTACATATAGAGTGAATACATGCAGTTTATATATATTATGTATGTGAAAATGTGTTCCTTAATATACTCATGAATGATTTTCACACTGTCAACTGTACATGTTAAGTTAATAGTATAAATAATGCAGTCGACGTAGAGGCTCAAATACATTTATCTTTATTCTAGATAAATGATCAACAGGAAGAATGATAGTAGCATTATATATATATACTATGATGTATCAGCGCTAAGTCATTCAATAGATCCAGATGCACCACGGGATCTTAGATCGTTGACCATGATTTCTTTATATCTTTACTACTGTATTATTGAAATTTAATACTATTTCTCTTATAGTTTTTAGAGCTTCCGTGGAATATACAAGTATTATGGAATATTTTTATAACTTCAATCACAGTTGGGCTCATAGATTTCATGAAATGGCTTTGATGGCCATGTGCTATTTGACTTATAATACATGGATACTAGTATTTAAACAAGTGGGATACTTGGCTAACATTGAGAAGTGGAATCTCATCTCTAGAAAAATATAGTTATAGAAATTCCACATGCACATGGCCACAGTTTCAGACTTAGAAGAAAAAGGTGCTAGCTAGGTACCTACCTGTCATGTACTATTAGGTGATATGAGATTTTATAGGTGATGTTTATGGTTTGAGGGAGATTTTCCAAGTTACCTATTTGGCCACCTAACCAACCCCTTGGGGAACTGAGCAAACTTTTGTTTTGAATAATGACATATGATGTTGATATTGATTAACTCTTAATTAGTAGACAACCAAACGAAGAACTTTCTTAGTATTTGACATGCTGTGATTTTCTTGAAAGAGATGGGCTGTCTTCAATAATGCAAACACTACATGACTGTCGCCAGGTCGCTTCATAACGAGCACAATATATATCGTGTTTAATTACCATTTGAAACCTTGAAGAGATTGTGATCAGTGATAAATCAAAGAAAACTAAGTATATTCTATGATTATTCAGTTATTTATTTTGACAAAATACTTATGAGGAAATTCTCAAACCACCCTCTCTCTCATAGGACAAAGAAAACTTACTCATGTGTTTATTAGTAAATCTTTCATGTGAATAGCAAACCTGCTTCAAAGACACTCCCGTTACATTAAAGCCCACTAGACACTAGTAAACATGAATGCATAGATGCAAGCAAGATACCTATTCCCTACCATTTAGTCTAAGGTCAAACATGGCTGCTACGTACCCTCCTCTTGAAAAAGGTTTGGTACTTGGCATATTTGTCACAGCACGTCCAAATATTTCCTTATGTTGCAATTAATCGTCGTATATAGTTGTAAGTGTTTAGTTTTCGAGAATGTGACATCAGCTTGGCGAAAGTAACAAATTGAATTTGATAATTTTGTTGTTACTCTTTTAGTCTTAGCAATGAAAATGATAGCTTGTCTTCATTACAACAGTGATTGACTATCCCTATAACATTTAATTTGCATTCTAAAGATGGAAAAGCTGTATCTTAAATTATTAGGAAAAGTTAAAAAGAAGTGCAATCGGAAAAAGCAATTGTAATGACAATAGGTGGGCGGCAGTGTGTATTATATTATTATTAGTAGAACTAGTCATCATGCATTACAATTTGAAATAAAAATAAAATCTTCCATCAAATGAATATTTGCTTGTTGGCGTGCCAACTTTGAATTATTTCATGTTTCCCCTCTTCTTTTTTATTTTCAACCTCTAGCTACAGTTTCAAACCCCTATTGAAATTGCGGCTCTAGGAAAATATGATACTTTCTCTAAGTACGAAGCGCTAGCTTCTTCTTTTTATTGGTATCTCCTAATATTATCTTGGTCTCGTTATAAATTAGCATATGGAATTTTGTTAGGCCTAAAATCCATTTCTTTATCGTTACTTGTCTATCTCAAACAGAACCAAGCTTAATAACAGGACAAAACTTTTCTGTATATTAAAAACTAAAAAAATGATATATGTTACATGAACTGATCCCAAAGTATGATTCGACCAGCAGGACTTTGGTGGGTTGAACTAAGTGCACATTGACAAGTCATTCGGGCTTTAGCCCATCTAAAACCTTGGGCTAGTTTGAGCTACATATGTAACCCAGTTAAACCCATAAGCAAACTCATCCACATAGAGAAAAATAAGTGTTTTTTTTTTTCGGATTTGGTTTGTTTATATAGCAACAAGTAAGATTTATCAAGTGGTTGAGCATCTCCATTATTAATCAGTAGGCTGATGGTTAGAGTTATGTTGAAGGTTAAGTGAGAACACTATTGATCCTCCTGATGGAGAAAAGTTAATATATATAGCCTTTAGAAACAAAAGTAAAGCTTTATTAATTTGTTCTATTTATTAATGAATCGTCAAATGACTAAACAAACAAATGAAAATTAACTTGTGTTAGTCATGCTGGCTTATGACCCATTGGTCAGCTCAACTTGATTCTCTCCCGCTTTTTCAACCAAGCAAACATTGAGAAGGTTATAAGTCAATCTATGTACTAACTGATTGGACCCATTTTAATTATCACACATATAACTCAAATCGATCATTTGACACCCGTAACTCGTAAGTGCAGTGATATGACAAAAAGGGGAAATAGTAAACTTATTCACTCTCTAATGGAACAAACCAATAGCCCCCTTGAGAAAAAATGTTCTACCAAAAGCCTCCGGTTTGAAGTGTTCTCAAGTTCTATCAACACAATTTGGATATGTGGCTAAACTGGCGCTTCAGCAGGCACAAGGAATGGAAGTGTAATTGTACAACAACATATCCATGTAATCCTACAAGCGGGATCTGGGAAGGGTGGTGTATATGCAACCTTGAAGGTAGAGAGATGCTCGGCTTAAATGAAGCATATCAAAATCAAGAAAAGGAAAATACAATATAAAAAAAGCATTTCCAAGAGTAGATAAATATTCAATATAGTTTGTAAAATTGATATTCCCTCTCTAGTTTCAACCAGCTGTATTAGTATCAGACTATATATCCAAATCATTAGTCCTACTCGCAATGTATTGTAAATCAACGATGTCAAAGTTAATTAAATCTGATTTCACAAACAAACATGTTAAAATCAGCAGAGTCCCTATTTCCTATTTTTCAGAAAGAACTCATCGGTACTTCTCTCATAAGTTATTTGTTATGTTTTGTTTCTGTCCTATTTCTGTAGCTGCAAAATTAATGGCTACTTGATCTTATAGTTGACCCTTCAATGCTCTTTTGAAGCTGTCCATTCCAATTATAGCTTTCAGATTTATTATCCTCTTCTTCATTGATAGACACCCCTTTGGCTGAACCCGAACCAGTAAAATGAAGAGGCCCTTCAGGAGAACCAGATTGTGTACCATTATTCTTTGAAGACTCTCCAATTTCATCCATAGTAGACCATGAACAACCTGATGCTGGGACTCGTCGCACATGAAGTCTATATTTCTGCATATCACAAAATAAATATTTTGATCAACACTTGAAGAAAATGTACGACAAACACTCATTATATTGAAAGAGGTTCAAATGAATCCGTAAAAACAACTTTTAATGTAGATTCATTCACTAGCTCACTGTAAAAGATAGCATATTAAAATTTCTGGCTCTGTCACTGGATGTTATAATAATTTCTAACACAAGTGTCATGGGAACAAAATATGAGCCTCTTATTTGTTGAAAGAGCGTAATTGGATATATACCTGTAAATGGCTTTTCACTTCGTCATTGGTCAGGCCATCCACTTGCATGATATCTCTGATCTGTTTTGGTGTAGCCACTGCAGGATAATATTTCAAAATTATTGTTAATGTTTTGTTGGATAATAAAAAGTATAGTGTGACATATATAATAATCCTAGTACAAGAAGAAAGAAATGATAATGAAATAATAGCATGTTGGTGATGTTATATTAAAGATTGATAACAATATTTTAACCATAGGTTGCGGCGACTAATACTAGTAAAAAATAAAGACTTTTGTGAGTCATTGTTTTCTCTTATGATCAGAATTAAGTGATATACAAAAGTCTTTTCATTAAACGATACCCTCCACCCCACCCGACCCCCTCATGAAAACAATGAATTGATATGGATCTAACTTTCATATCATGATAAAGAATAGAAGACCTTTGTATTCTTAAACGAATGATGTGAGACTCCAACAATAGTACTACTATTTTTTAATCAAATATTTTCAGTAGTTCAACAAGACTAAATATTAAAAAAATGATTTTTAAAGAAAGGCATTTGCTATCATAGTAATCTCACTTTACGAATAAATTTAGACGCAAAATCAAGACTAATAGTATATATCAAGACATTGCTTTCACTTAACAGATTAGTTTGTTTTATATGTGAAATAAGGATGATAAATTCATTTTAATCTATACTAAAATAGAGGGTATCCCATATAAAAGATGTGATAAAATAGTTCCAAATATTCCAATTGCTTATCCCATGCCGCACAATAAACAACCGTTCGATATATATATATTTATATCGATGGTGGTGAAAGATAATTGATATTCCATAAAATAATCAAATGTGAACGCAAATTAATCGAACACCGACAATTACCTTGTGCACCTCCAAGTTGATGAAGAGCATCAACAAATCTACGATGCAATTCTGGAGACCAACAACGCCTCTGTTTCCTCTGTTGTGATTTGTCCTGTGAAAAAACACCACATCCATTTGAATTTGATGGGCCGTTTTCTCTTTTCACACTCACATCAATTGGCTTTTGACCCTTTTCTCCTTCACCCACTGTCACTGCCATTGACAGAGATAAATCCTTCACTGCCAAACCACTTTTTCCTTCCTTCAAAGCTTGTCCTTGAAATGGCAAAAATGCCCCTCTATCACTCTTCAATTTACATGCTCCTAACTGGTACTGCTTCTCCCTGGCTTTCTCCTCTACACCACTCTGATTAATCAACAATTGTATAAAAAAATGTCAAAACGATTTTACGAAGAAAAAATAAAATCTTAGAAAAGAAAAAAAAAAAAGGGAAAAACTTACCGATTTTAAGTTTTCAAGATTAAAGTTTTCGTACTGAACTGGAGTGCTCCATAGCTGAGCAGAGCTCATCCAGTTTTTCTTATCACTTAAATCATTTGACTTTTTTACCCTTCCACTTTCATCAGAATTACCCTTCTTCAGTGGGATGAATTCCTCCATCACAGGACTTATATCTTTCTCCTTATACAGCAAAGCTTCTGCCTTTAATCTCTCAATAGCTGCCACAAGAAAAATTAAATAACCCGTAAAAAATGCAGAAGATTGAAAAAGCAGAGAAATAATTCAAAAGAAAAAAAAAAACTGACCATCTTTGAGAAGAAGCATACACATGGGCAATTCACGTTTAAAAGCTTCGGTTTTTCTGAGTTCTTCTTCTAAAGGAACAAGAAACTGATTGAGCTTTGTTAATTTCTTGGAGATGTCATCCATGGCAGAAACTTCAGTTAAAACATCTGAAATTAACTTGGGCACATAAACAAAATTCAAATCAATGTTCATTTCTTTAGAATTTGAACCCATAATTTTAACTTTTTTTCTGCAAATATATTTAATTGTTCTATTACTTTCTCACATTGCCTAGATAGAATGAATAAAGGAAAGGTTGAAGAAGTCTTATATTTATAGCACATTTACACTTTTCAACGAAAACGAGGGTAAAAGTGGAAAGTTTGGATTCTAAAAGCTTCAAGAGATTCGATATTGTTTCACATTCGGGTTGTCGCATATTTGAGTTAACTCGGAAACACGGTTAGTCATATAATGAAGGAACCTTTTGACTCTTAATGAGAAGAAATTGAATTTAATTAATTTACCTTTTTTTTATAGGGATGTATCCATTTTTTAGAGGCAAATTATAATTTATACTAGTACCTACATAGTATAGTTTTTTACAACAACATATTCAATAAAATTTGGAAAAATTACTGAAATATACGTCTTATATTTCCCTTATTTCTAATATTCCCTTCTATTTCTAAAAATCTCTAAAATCCCTTATTTCTCTCCTAATTCGAAATTATTTTATAATTTATCGGAGCTAGTTTTTAATGTATCCGAACTACATATTACGTATCCGGTTTGTTTTACTTTTTCAAAGATTAATGTAATTAGAAACTAAATAGGGATAGATTGTAATTTCATATTAAAACTATGTGATTCCTAAAATTTCATATGTGAAATCTTAGGAGGTCGTATAATTTTTTTAAATATCTAAATATTAATTATTTTTTTCTCTTGAAAAGTAGTATATTTCCTTTGTTTCAATTTTTTAAATTTAATTCTAGCTTGAACAAAATTCAAGAAAAAAAATTAAAAATTAAATATTGTGATTTTTAAATAAAAAATATGTAAAATATATTAACATGTCGTTTAATTTTTATGATCTTAAACATTTTACGTATAAAATAAAAATAAAATAAAAAAATTATCAATTTATATTTTTAAAATAATATAATAAATTGAAACAAAGAAACATAAATTAGACAGGTCAAAGTAAAAAGTGTTTATTTATTTATTGTATTTTTACTTTTCAAAGATTCTGCGTCTTGAGCGGTCGGCTACATTTGTTGACTTAAATTCCATTTTTCTTGAAATAAGAATGGGATGGAATATTTAGTTGTTTAGACTAAATTGCCCTTGCTATATGACTTTTCTAACATGTTAATTAAAAGAGATTAAACTAATCTGATTCTCTGTTTTTGGAGGTTCACTTTCAACTAATGCCTTAAATGCTAAATCAGTTTCAAAAAAAGGTTCACAAAATATAGCCAAAAACAGAACAGTTTTGGATTCTACTTCCACTCCATTAATTTTCTTCTTTTGGGACTTTAAACCTCTATTCTTTGTACGCCATGTTTGGTCTCTCTTTGAAATATTAAAATTATTATAATATCTTATTAGCCTTATATTGACGTCTCAATTGAAAATATATTCTTGATTTCTCACTCCACACCTTTATTGTACCAAATGGACAAAAAGTTGAATACTTAGGCGCTCGATTTACATATAAAATTATAATTTTAAGATTAATTATATTTACGTTCAAATAAAATATAAATTAGATTTCAAACTTAATTCAAAAATCCTATTTTACTTTGTAAAAGTCAAAGTCATGGAAAGTCTTTGATATTTCATTTACTAGTCATGAATTATTTTTTTTTTAATATGGCATGAATTAATTAATATTAGTGAGAATATTAACCAAAATAATAAAAAAAAGAAGTTAATAGTATCCACCTTTCAAAAAATGGCACCGATAACATGCTTATCTCTGCTTCATAGAACAGCCTAACTCTTTAGATTTAAAGGTCTGCAAATAGTAATTGAAATCCAAATTTATTTTTTAAACATATGTTTGAGTACTCGGCTCCCCTCCATTTAATAAAATGAATCTGAACCATTAAATAAGCTAGCGTTTGGCCATAGATTTTCAAATATTCTCGGCAAATATTATTTGGATGAAAATTTGGGTGAAATTTCATCATGTGTTTGGCCATAGTATTTGGGAAACATATTTCACTTTTTAGAAAAATATGATTTATATCCATAGGTTTTAAAAAATATCAAAACTAATCATAAGTTTGTATTACTAGTCAATTGGATCATCGTAGCAACAAATGACAAGTAGTATAATGACATTGGAGCAATGTGATAGTTTGGAGTGACTGCAACAAACATCATTCCATACATCGTGAAGTAGACAAAACACATGACTTTGTTACCCTGAGCCGATTGTTCATCATTTTCATCAACAACCATATCATCACTTTCATATTCACTTAATATTTCAATACTACTTTGGTGTTCACATAAAATATTATGTAATACAACGCAAACAACTAATATAGATGGTGCTTTTGTAAATGATAAAAGTTTGATGTAAAATTTCAATTTTTAATAGATCCAAATAATGAGATTTGGCCCAAATACTAGAAAAAACTAGTATTTGAATATTTGGAATATTTGTCAAATAATGACAAATTATATGGACAAATATTATTTGCCAAATTTCTCCCCAAATAATACTTGAGAAACAGGCGATAAAGACACACATGTCAATCAATCAAAGCCACACTGGACCAAATGGAGGAGGGATGGACTACTGGAGGGGAGCCGATTCCATTACCTATGTTTGAATGTACAACACAAAATTAGAAGAGTGAATACTGTCAATTACTAATTAATTAGTCTATAAATAGTACGGTTAACCAAAAAAGAAATGTTTCATTTCATTCGTATAACTTGTATTTTGTTTTTTTCTTTTCAATATGCCAACTATTTTTTAAATATATATGAGAAGATATATTAACTATTTTTTTTTAAAAAAAACTGGCAAAATGTGAAATGAAACCAAACAATGTGACAACATGCTAATCTCAGCTTCATATAGACAAAAAAAAAAAACAGTCAACTCTTTAGATTTATTGGTCTTCAAATAGTAATTATGCAATCCATTTTTTCTTAAATAATACACTATTAGCATTGTATATACCTCCTTCATTTCATTTACTTCCTTCGTTTTTTTTTTTCTGTTGTATTTTTTGAGAGTCAATTTGATTAATTTTTAAAGCTATATTAGATTAAACTAACTCGATGTTTTAAAATAAAATTTCAAATATTTCAAATTATACGAAAAACACTATACATTACAATTTTCTTTTATATCAATATAATTTAAAACAAATATCGTTTGACAAAAAAAAAGCTATAAAAAGGAGTATTTTTTTAATACTGCTCCTTATTAAATGAGATCAATCTAGGATAGGTTAAATGATATATGTATGATGGCCAAAAGACCCATTATTTTCCTTCTTGTGGTTTATTCACTTACTAGAACTAGAATGTCTCTACCTCATTCATTACTTGTCTTATTTCTTTGATACGTGATCTGTTTAATATTTATGAGAACCATTAATTGTTTTAAAACAATTTGTGCAAATGAAAAATAAATAAATGAGCCAAATATGGTAAGTATTATCCTCCCTTCAAAAAATTATACCCCCTCCGTCCTTGACACTTTTCAGATATCGAGATTTAAATAAATTTATCTTTGATTTTGACCGTAAATTTTTCAATAAAAGAGCAGTATATGTCATATTTTAACTCACAAATTGTTAAAAGTTTTTTATTCTTTGTTAAACTCAATAACCAATCAAATAATAAGGGAATAAAAAGATTTCTTTTCCAAAACATGATAAATAAATAAGGGGTCACAGTGTGGGCGTGTTATTCGACCTTTGTGGATCTTCAAAGTACAAGAATCTCTAACGACAATTTTGAATTAAAAAAAAAAAAGGGTAAATAATTAATGAACCTATTGATATTAACAGAAGCAATATATTGTGAGGTGGTACGGTCCAATAAGGTTCCAAGAGAATCATTTTACTCTGTTTATTCCGTTACAAAAAAGAATCGTCTCTTCCACAATTTCTGCTATATTATTCTTTTTACAATAAAGTATAGTACTACTGTTATTATTCCAAACCTGAGGATCCAAAAATCCCCATGGGACCACAAAAAATATGGTCTTTTTATTTCCTCCGTCACGATATACGTGACATTATTTATTTTAACGTAAATTTTGAAACGACTTTTCTGAATTTATGATTAGAAATATGTTTTTAGACATTTGTGTGGCTATATACTATTTAATGATAAAATGGAATTTTAAAATTCAATTATTTATAATTATAAAAAGTATTTTTTAAAAAATTTATGATTTAATTATTATTTTTTAGATATTTGTGTGACTAAACATTATTTAATGAAAAAAAAAATTAAATTTAATTATTTCTAATTTAATATTTCTTTAAGATGAATTAAGAAGAAAATAGTATCAAATAAATTAGGACAATTTTTTTAAAAAATTAATTGCTTTAGTATCATGGATGGTGACACCTCAAAAAACTTGGTGAATTGATTTAGTGGATAATTCCTTCTTTTGATAAAAAAAATGTTTGTGTTATTATCATTGATTTTGACATGACTATATTAATCTTCACATTTACACATTCTTTTTCAAAATAATTACGTCAGATAATACAATTTGCATTTTTACTTGTAGAAGGTCCAATATTTATTTATATAGAATCGATAATTTTTGCATAATTAGTACTTAGTAGGAAGAAGATATCTTTTGAACAATGTCAAGACAATAATGTTACTATTATTTTATTTTACTCATACCATTATAAAATTATTCGATCATTAGGCTGCAATATGATGTAGCTAAATTTTCAATTGGCCTTTCCCTTCATACGTGTCAATAAATAAATTAGTAATAATAAATTTGATTTTGTATTTTGGTCTAATCCAAAATTTATTTTGGAGATAAGGATGATACCTTTTTTTTTTTTTTTTTGATGGTTCTGGTGAATGGACAGTGACTCTGAATTAAATTATACGGCCACCTTAAAATATAAAAATATAAAAATATTTCTCCTATGTATTCTCATTATATATATTCTATAGTTTTCTTCTTCTTCTTCTTCTTTTTGTTTTTGTTTTTTTGTGTGTGGAAACGATAAGAGTTTTGATTCACTTGATCAGCCCTACATCAAAATTCGATGAAGGAATCTTTCTCATTGTCTAAATAAATTTAAAAATTTAAGGTGACTTTTTGTTACAACAAAGTGCAAATTGGGAATTAGTTCAATTCCTACTTGTCATGATT